GACCACGAGTTTGATACCCCTAGGAGATGGGAGTTATGAAGGAGCCTAGAAATAATGAAAAGTTTGCTGCTGCCATTGCTGCTGCCATATACTCGGCAGAAGATGAAAGGGAAGGAAATCAGTGGACTTAGATAGGTAGATAGTTAGATAGACGATAGATAGATAGATAGATAGATAGATAGATAGATAGATAGATAATAGATAGATGATAGATAGATAGATAGATAGATAGATAGATAGATAGATAGATAGATGATAGATAGATAGATAGATAGATAGATAGATAGATAGATAGATAGATGATGATGATAGATAGATAGAGATGGATGGATGGATGGATGGACAGACAAAGGAGGGAGAATGAAAACAGTGAAAAAAACAGATCCAGCTTCCATGGTGGGCTCCTAATGCTCCAGTCAAACCCAGTACATGGTCTTCCCTTTTACAAAAGAGAGCATGTGGTAGTGAGAAATAGGATGTGGTATCATTCCTGCTACACTGGACCTGCCAGTTAACAGCCCCATTTTTCAGCTGCTTTTGCCTTGCTTCCAATGGCCTGAGCTTGCAGATTCTGTTGGGGGGGTAAACGTCTGCTGTGTTAGAAAATGAGTCTCCCTTTCCCTGCTGTTCCTCCCCCTTCCCCCAGCAGAGATCAAAGATAGCATGCATATCAAAGCAGCAAATAAGAGGCGTGGGGCATGTTGCCAAGTAGTGCTATTAATGGCCAGAACTGGCCTTATTGCCATGAGATGTATTCGGTAGTTGCCTTGGAAACAACAGATGTTAAGTGCTAGGAGACCCTCCACAAATAAAAAGATCCATCATTCATTTGCTGCTACAGAATGCTGCAAATGACTCTTCCAGTGAGAGAGATACCTTTGGGAATTCCCACAAAGACCGTAGCCCTGAGCCCAAGCTGCCCCAGTCCTAGGTGTATTTTACTCATCAGGGTTCATCCCTCCTATGCCATAAATGCAACTCAAAATCCTAGCCTGCCTGGAGAGAGCATCTTCCTAGTCAGATGTCCTAATCCCCTTCTATTACTTTCCTTATATCTTCCCATTGATATGAGGTGAACATCTTATGACATGAACTAAACATGCAGGCTGGCAATGGGAAAGCTCTAGTCCTTACCTCCAATCAGCCCATTGTGATCCAAAGATAGCTCTGGCTGGTTCAAATTTCTATGCTGAACTTTTGTGTAATTTCTGTTTTCTTCTCTTCAACCTGCATTTTGACAGACTACAGCCTTGGATAGTCTTTTAATAACCTTCAAATGGGTTGTGGTTTTAATTGCAAGCCAAACTTTTGGAGAATTGAAATCTTGACAGATCTAGAGGATACCACCTTGGAGAAGCCTCGTCTAGGCAAAGGTTTCGCATTTTAATGATTCTATCATTAAGAAGATCCTTCTTTTCTTAGACTGGGGCAAAGTACTGGACCTTATGTACCCATGATGTCAATAAAGTCTTGGATGATGAATATTTCCAATGATACGAAAACACTGAAATGAGGCCGCTGCTGGATTTTAAAGACCAAATGTATACAGTAGCCACAGGGTTTTCTTCTTCATTATTCTCTCTTATTTCCCCATACCAGGATAAATTGTGAGGGGCTGCATTTCTCAGGAACAAACTGTCTCAGTTATAGGATGGTTTCTTTGAGAATGGCTATGCCAAACCTCTTTTTCTACTTTCTTAAAAATAGAGTTTGTATACAACCGTGTATGTCTTTAACTTGTCCGCAGGTCCTTCTAAGAGAATTTGAGAAAGCTGTACTACACGCAGCTTTTAAAGAATTCTAAGTAAACTATTGTTGGCTTTCCCTGAACAATCTTAAAAAATGAACTTTTGTTAGGAGTCCATCTATTCTCTTCCTAGGTGCAGTATCTGGAGTTTCTTGGGAGTAACTCCCAGTTTTAAATGGGTTCAAACTCATTTATCTGTAATGTAGCTTTATGGAAAGTATGAACAGCTTTCTCAAATAACATTTTGGAAAGTGAGGGAATTGTTGTTAAGGCATAGAGAACAAGTGTTAGTTCCTCTAACCTGTGAATCAGAACCACAACCCTAAATGCCATCATTTTTACTATTTTTAAAATCAATTTCACAGAGTAAACTTCAGAGAAAACTTCCCAGAAAACCAGGGTGCACCCTGGGATTGGTGCACAGATAGGAGCTGAAGAGCAGCAATTTGGTCCAGGTCCTCAGTCACCCGCCTAGCAAGGCCTCAGCTGAATCATCATCAGATCCTCATGGAAAACTTAAGTTGACTGGGATAGGCTAATTCAACAGGATGGATCTTCTTGCTTGGGTGAGGTATTAGCAAATCAGAGAGCATCCAAAGAATGATCTCTCCATAGTAATGAAGTGATACTAATAACCTCACATAGTAGATTTCACTGAAACTGCCCCAAGACAAAACACAGACCTAGTGCCCAATATGCACTGAGCTCTATATTACCTGGGACAGGTCCATAGTTGCCATAGGGACTAGGAGCACCTGAGTTGTCCTGGATTCACCAAGCAGCAGGTCCCTTGAGGCTGTGACTCTGCTATCTCCACCATTACATTTGCTAGTAGCATGACCACATGCAGCCAGTCTCAAGATCACGCATAATGCAAATCACATAACTTTGTTTTTGTGTATTTAAAACATGGCCCATGTGAGGTCCCCTGCTCTCCCAGGTAATTCCTCTGTGTTCAAGCTCAGCTTATGTGCCAAACTGAAAAATATTTCTACAGGTTTGTAGCCCTGTGTTCATTCTCTGAAATGAAACTGCCTGGTAATGGGTTTTATTAAAAGGTTTTGAAAGTATCATTGAAAGATTCTTTCAATGGATGTAAAGATTCTCCATTCTTCCCTTGAAACTAACTTTCTATCTCCTTGTTAGTTCCCCAGTATCAGCCTTTCCTGAGCTTGGTTCCTAGTTGCATGAAAAAACTGTCAGATTTTGTTTGACTCTGTTTGCAGTAGAAACACATTTTCAATAGCTAAGTTCAACTCTGCACGAAGTGGCTACCAGGCAAAAAAAAAAAAAGCAATACACATTTGACAATAAAACTATACAGAAGTAGCTGTCTCCATTTTGAGTTTCTCTCAAAAACCTGGTCATCAGTAATAGCAATGAATGATTCAGTTTTATTCAGTTTTTCATATCATTTCAAGTAGATACCTGGATAAACTTAGTGAACAACATGTATTGTCAATACATATAAACAAGTGCAAAGGTTGAAGTAGAAGGAATGTCATCCATTAGATTGGCTACCTTTGTCTCAAAGACATCCTCAACCAGAGTATTCTGGAGGGTGTGTGGTGTGGTGACTGTACATACTTTTCTACATGTGTACAGATAGTCCTCGAATTACAACAATTCATTTAGTGACCGTTCAAAGTTATAATGGCACTGAAAAAAGTGACATGACCATTTTTCACAGTTATGTCCTTTCCAGCATCCCCATGGTCATGTGATCAAAATTCAAATGCTTGGTAACTGATTCATATTTATGACTGTTGTTGGAGTCATGTGATCACCTTTTACGAACTTCTGACAAGCAAAATCAATGGGGAAACCAGATTCACAGTATTGTTAACTTCACAAACTTAACCATTGCAGTAATTCATTTAACAGTTGCTGTGATTCACTAAACAACTGTGACAAGAAATGTTGTAAAATAGGGCAAAACATATTTGACAAATGTCTCAGTTAACAAAAGAAATTTGGGCTCAATTGTGGTCGTTAAGTCAAGGACTACGGTACCAGTATTTCTATATAACTCAGCTTTTACAATGGAACCACTAGTTGAGATGAATTAGATCCATAGACAAAATTTAAAATAAAACATTATTTTTGAATCAATTCTAAAACCAGCCTGTAGAAGGCCAGAAAATGATCAATATGTTTAGCAAACACAAACATTCTGGATAAATATTTCCTATACTGCTGGATCAAGTATTTCATCTGTTCACAGACAACAGTACAGTAATATTGCTTCTTTCCGGCATCAAATAATGTTCTGTTGTGACCACGCATTTCAGAGTTGTGTGTTTTGAGAAATACATTGCTTTTGCAGTAGCTTTTAATTTGGGATCTTGGTAATTTACAAAGCTGCTTTTGGATATAGCAATCTGCAAATGTATGTGATTCTATGATTCCATAATGGGCAAAATCTGGAAATCTGTAATTAGGTTACCTTTTGGCTCTTAATACTTCTTATTTAAGAGGAAAAAATTGTGTATGTGTGTAGCTTTTGATCCATTCAAATAATCTTAAGGGTTCAATTTATTGCCTGGCTTTAACTAACTTTATCAACAAAGAAATATTCCAAATAATCATTTTGGTACACTTTCTAGAAGTTTTTTTTGAAAGTTGGTGGTGGTAGAACTTAATTAAAAAGCACGGCTGCCTTCTAGAATTAAATTGATCTATACCAATTCCAGAAGATAGCAAAATGGGACACTGGTTGGCTCACAAATCCCTAGCTATTTTTTTAACCATTTTTTTTTAAACCAATGTATTGAAGAAAGTCAGTTGAAGAAGAATGTGAATATCCTGATTCTTCCAGCCTAAAGGCATCTTGTGGTTGTTACAAACACCCCTGGAATTCTTGAACAAACATTTGGAGAGATGGCCTCAACTTCTTTGAAAGCAAGAATGGCTATCTTGTTTTCATCAATGATCAAGTAAGGTTTAGCAGGGCTTTCCTTTCAAAGGTTAAATATTTTTGACCGTGATTTGAAAAGAATGAGCATTGTGGAGAATAGCCCATTAATATGGCCTAGCCCAACTATTGGAAGAAATATCTATCTGGTTCAATTCCAAGCCAGGAAAAAGACATTGGAAACATGGAGGCTGATTGGAAAGATGGCTTAATGGTGAAGCAGAAGCACATGGGTGGTTCTGGGCAGCTGACCACATGGAGTTGAGACAGAGGGGTACCTTCAGTTGACCTTTGCACTTGAACTTCCTGTTCAAGAACATGTATTCTGTTGGCTGTTGTAGGGGTCATAACTAGTTGTAGGTTGTCTGAGTCCCAAGTTTGGTTGAATTTTGCTGGATGATGCAATGTCCCCAGGTGATTATGCTATGTGGTGAGCTCTGCTGCTAGATGGGGTTAATCCCCTGGAGGGTCATGTCTTAATCCCATCACCCTGGATCTGAAGATACCTTGTAGATAGACTGGCCCAGGGAGCCACTTTCTATCTTAAAACATGCTTCTTCTTTTACCATCCAGGGAAATATAATCTTCTGCTTTTTAAATATTTCCTAAAATATTTCATTCTTCTGGGAAGTGGGCGGCTTCCCACACAACTATGCCCTCTAATTTTGAACAAAAGAAATAGTTTGTGGAAGCACCTAGTTTCACAAATTTTTTCTTATGGACTACACATGAAGATACAGAGACAGAGATTAACATAGGATCCACATGAGATGCACAACCTGTTTCCTGCATTAACTGCTGTGTTCCCTTTGTTGGAACACTTCTCGGGCATTACAACACCTGCCAAATGCTTTTTGGATCGGATCTAATGTCAAAGTCCTCGATGGTAGAAATAGTCTGATTCAGAGGATGCTATCCAACTGGGCAATTAACAAGGTACTAAACACAAGTACGTCAACCTTATGGTGCAAATCTGTCCTAGTTTCAAGATGGTGTGACAGTGCTGAGCTCTGCTGCCCTCTGCAGTGATGACGAGAGCAAATCGGGAGCAACCGTGTGAATAATGTCTGCACAGGGAAATATCATGTGGCCCCAAAGGAGGATTCCGGAATCAGGGAGAACCTTCTCTTTACCCATCAGAGGTTTTCTTTGCTATTGCTCTGTCTTGTCTTGTCTTTTCCTCATTAATAACCATGCTATAACTAGCTTTCTGGTCTTTTCCACAGCGGTGGGAAACAGTTCATCTGAGGTCTAATCTAAAGTGAAGGATTTATTTTTGGGTCCTTGTAACCTAGCAATAGGTACACGTGACCAGTAGTGGCTGCGCCATGAATATGCATTGTCTTCTCCAGGCTGAGATCCTCAGTTAACCAAGGCTCTCTTGAGAGCTATAAAAGATTGGAAGGCACTCAGCCTGACTTCAACAGAGCCAGCAGCTGCTAAATGCCTAACAATGTGCAAAGGTATGGCGGATGAGAGGCTGAAAACGCAGCTTTCAGGGACTGGCTATTGCGGTGGGAAACTGGCAGCATCTCTTTCCTGCTACTATTTTTGTCAGCCCCGCAATGAAAGTAGATGATGCAGGAGAAAAGAAGGGACAGATAAAAATAAACAGCTGCTCACTTCCCTAAATAGCAGCATATATGCCTAAAGGGAGGGGGGCTAATAGCTTCGTGGCAGAAGCATATTTTGCATGAGAAAGATTCATTTCGTGCCAGCACTTTGGAGGGGAAAGCATATTTCAGCCAAAATGCCTAAAACAAATACCAGAAAAATCATAAATTCTGGGCACAGAATTTATCCTCCAGAGAAACAGGATTTCCACTAAAACTCAAACAAAAAACCAAGTCATTAGCCTTTGTGTGGCTGTAAAAACTAGTTTTGTAAGAATATAGGCAATGCATGAGAATAGTTTAGAACATGGCAGTGATTGAGACAGGATTGCTAGGGGATAGGAGCAAAAGTCCCATCATAAACTTTCATTCTTGTATTTTTATGTAATTTAAGAAGCTTTGGGGCTTCTCATCTGAAAGCAACATAAATAAGAAAATTTTACACATGACTCTTTATTCATGTGTACATTGGCTAGTAATGCAAAATCAAAGATTTAACTGTCAGAATGCAAGTACATTTTTAAATCTTTTTTTCGGTCTTATTAATGGGAATTGCCCATGACACAGGTAACACGAGAAAAATTAATGGGTTTGATTTTTATTCAAGATCAGTTTTCATACAAATGGTGATAGATGAATGAACATAATTTAATTAACCTCCCAAAGCTACCCCCACTTCAAACAAATGGAAGCACACCGTGTTTGCCCTCCTCTTATTCATTTCCTTACTTAATGGTACGTATTTATAAGATGAAAAGGAAGGACTCAGTGGAGAAAAACCTAACGCTGGGAACGACTGAGGGCAAAAGAGGAAGGGGGCAACAGAGAATGAGGTGTCTGGAGGAAGTCACTGAAGCAGTTGGCGTGGACTTCGGGGGATGGCAGAGGTCAGGAAGGCCTAGAGCAGGGGTGTCCAACCTTGGCAACTTTAAGACTTGCTGGCTGAGGAATTCTGGGAGTTGAAGTCCACAAGTCTTAAAGTTGCCAAGGTTGGACACCCCTGGCCTAGAGGAACATTGTCCATGGGGTTGTGATGGATCAGACACAACTTCACAACTAATAACAACAAAATTATAAGAAGATAATCATCGTCATATCTTAGCTCACAGTACTACCTACTAGAGAAAAACGAAAGCGCCTAAGCTTTCTCCCCCAAGTCTAAATATAGTGACTATTAAAAATCTGATGAAAGGTATTTTGAAATAGAGGTAGAACAGGTCAAAGACTTTATGATAAAGTGGGGTAAGAATTTTGGTTATAACACACAGATGAATCAATGGGAAAATATTTGCTTAAAAGAATTAAAATATGCATTACATTATGATTTTAAGGATCATTTTTATAAAACAATGTATTGTTGGAACAGGATGCCAAAGAAATTATCCATAATGTGCAAAGGCACTTCAAATATATGTTGGAAATGTGTACAACATTCCATCATGTTTGATGAACATATAAAAAAACCTTTTAAAAAGGTGGATTCAAATTTGCATAGGATTTTTTTAAAAAAATATTATATTGAAGCCAGATCTTTTCCTTTTAGGATTGACAGTTGGAAAAGAGCCATGGAATATTATTTCAGAATATGATTACTATGACAAGATTATGATATGCACAAATTGGGAGGATTTGGCACATCCCAGCAGAAAGGAGGAAAAAGTTGGTGAGACTAACAGATCTTTCTGAGATAGATAAACTGACTTCTTTGATTAAAGAAAAGGCAGTATCTACTTTGATTGTGACTGGAAACCCTTTATGGATTTTTTGTGTAAAAATAAAAAAAAATGAACATGATTTAGGGTTTTGATGATTATGCATGTTAGGATATTAGAGAGAAGATGGTCATGATGTAACTTTAGAGAAAGAAAGAGGTCAAAATATAATTGTACTTATAACCACTGCAAAGAATATTGGAATCCACTTCTTTATTGTCTCTATATCTTTCTTTATAGTTTTCTTTTTCTATTTTATTGTTTTCTTTTCTGGCTGCAGTTTTATTCTTTTCTGTTATTTTCTTTTTTACTTTGCTGTTCTAATTTGTTGTAATTTTTATTGTTTTAAATCGTTTAATAAAATTTATTTTAAAAAATGGTGAGGAAAGCTAAGGCAGGAGCTTTTGCAAATAATAAAGTGAACCACCCTGAAGCTCCATGAAGCCATATTATTTGAAATAAAAGACTAATGTTACTGGCAACATTGTGGATTCCCAGAGAATTAGATGACTGTTACCTAATTCTTGAGTTGAACTATCCCTAACCTTCTATATCTTGATCCACTTGAATCCATTGCGGCATCTAAACAATTAAATCCTGTGGTTCACCAGATTTCCCTATACTAGAAGCAATGAGAAAGATATTCTCTAATGCTGAGGACGGTTGCAAAATAAGTTGAGGGAAAACAAATGAGGTATCAGCTGTTTCATAGCCTGGGGAGAGATGAAACCAGTGAATCTGTGGTGGCGCAGTGGTTAAAGTGTAGTATTGCGGGCTAACTCTGCCGACTGCCAGCAGTTTGATTCTGACCTGCTCAAGGTTGACTTAGCTTTCCATCCTCCTGAGGTCAGTAAAATTGATTGCTGGGAGCAATATGCTGACTCAGTAAACTTCTTAAAGAGGGCTACAAAGCACTGTAAAGTAGTATATAAGTTTAAGTGCTATTGCTATCTATAGTAGAAAGAAATGTTCCCACTTTTAAATTTTTGCTCCCTCAGCCTGGAGGTGTCTTTCACATTTAACAGATATTTTGCTCCTCATTTTCAGTCTACCAAGGTATTAGAAATCTCCACCACTACATTCAGGAGCTTCCAGTATATTTTGTGGATTTACATAATCTGTATTAAGCCATGAGTTGTTGAATTATAGATGGCTGTCTTTGGGAAACATACAGTGGTGGGATTCAATTTTTTTTACTACCGGTTCTGTGGGCGTGGCTTGGTGGGCATGGCAGGGGAAGGATACTGTAAAATCTCCAGTCAGAGGTGGGATTTGCTGGTTCTCTGAACTACTCAAAATATCCGCTACCGGTTCTCCAGAACTGGTCAGAATCTGCTGAATACCACCTCTGGAAACATACCAAAGCTTAAGAAACTTTATTATGGCTGCCTATGTGTGGAGTTTATATTACATACTTTGGTTAACAGAGGTTGTATTTTTAAGGAAGTGGAAAGAACTGACCGTTATACAGCCTTAATGAAATTATTTTTGTTTTTTGCCTTTCTCTGCAGGAACTGAGTGATGGTTTCGGCTGGTGGGAGTGGGAAACTACTTATATAAGAGGGTGATGAAGTAAGAAGGTTCAACATAGAAGCAGGAGGAGATTTTTAATGAAGAGTTCCAATCAGTAATTCGATTCTTGCATTAGATTGTTTTATTTGGTTTGCTTTCTTAGTTTCATATTTCCTTCTGATGAAAATTGTGCTCTATGAACATTGATGAATTAGCTTGCTAAGGTCTAATCTCTTTAGGAACTATGCGCTGGTAACCTGGCCAGCAAGTTGTCCCTATATATTAAACCTGACATTAGTCTAGGGCTATCTGTAAAAGTCCAGGCAACAAAGTAGCAAAGAAATATAGGAAACTAACTAAAAGCATTGTTTTTTTAACAGCACGAATACAGTAGCCTTACGTAGACCAGAGTGAAATACACTGCTCAAAAAAATAAAGGGAACATTTAAACAACACAATGTAACTCCAAGTCAATCACACTTCTGTGAAATCAAACTGTCCACTTAGGTAGCAACACTGATTGACAATCAATTTCACATGCTGTTGTGCAAATGGAATAGACAACAGGT